GGGCAAACAGTGTGGACTATGTGATCCAGTTGACCTTGGTGTCTCCCCAGTCTATGCTCCTGAGCTCCCAAGCCCGGTGACTCACGGTCCTAAGGTGCCTGGCAATGGTTTTCATAAATTCTTGGACATAAACGTTAGACCACAATGGATGAAGTTGGGTGCTGGTGCTGGTGAAAGATATTGAAAGTAGTATGCCCTGCCAAAAGAACAGACAGATCCGTCTTGGAAGAAGTCCAGCCAGAAAGTTCCTTAGAGCAAGGACAGCGGGACTGGGGATGGCAAGTCGCAATACTTTGGATCCGTTCTCAGGAGAGAGCAGTCTGTGGGAAAGGACATCACTCTTGGTAGAGTAGAGGGTCAGCCAGAGAGATGACAGCGGGCTCCACTGGAATGACCACGGTGAGGCTGGCGCCGGACTGGGCAGTGTCTTCTTCTGTTGTGCTTGGGATTGCCAGAACTGACTGCAGGACACCCAGCAAGAGCAGCTTCAGAAAGGAGCCCGGCTGGAATGCACTAAGTTGCACCTCACAATCGGTTCATAAGATATCTAAAACAGTGTATTTCCCGAGCGGTTTAGAAAGACTTTCTTGGTCATTTAGTTCAGGAACAATGTCAAAGCAGAAGGAGATGGAATGACAGGGTGGAGTCAGTTTGCTGGGAGGTCTCAGGAAGCACAGGTTAGACAACACACCAGCAAGAGCCCATGATCCTCGGCCAACCCAGAGGGGCAACTTACCACATCTGCCACCTGCACCGAGCTCTCACGCTCTATCTATCCGTCTGTCTGTCTGTCTGTCTGTCTGTCTATCTATCTCGGCTCATATTCCTGCCAAGCTGGCACAGGTGCTCGACATGAAACTGGAGGAATTCAACTGTTATTTCTGCATTAGAACCCCTGGTTGCAATGTTTTCGTCCAGGCAGATGAGAACATAGTACAAGACACAAAAGAGTGCGATGATGTCAGAGGGAGATGGCCGCACCTTCTCAGAGTACCTACGAAGGGCAGGGTTTGTCATCGCTGACTAGAAATGACAATGATACAGAGCACAGCAAGCATTTGTTTCAAAGGCCCAGGCTGTTCAACCAGGTGAAGAGAATTGTGGAAGCAGATGCTTTTATAAATGATGATCAGTCATCGGCCAGGCTTCCCTCAGGCAGGGCTCCTCCTCAGCTCTCTTTTATGTGGAAACAATCTCGTGTCTCCACGCAGCCCACCTCCACCACCCCCCAAAAAAAACTTTTAAAAAGCACTGCTATCAAGTTGATTCCGACTCACAGCCACCGTGATGGGAAGAGAACGGTCCCGGTGGGTTTCTGCGGCTGTGCGTCTCTGTGGGGACAGAAGAGGCCTCAACTTCTCCCCCAGCGAGCCCCACGGGTTCACACTGCTGACCCGCCTGGCCCACTCCCCGGCCCGAGTGCCCTCCTGTCTTTCCCACGCTCAGATAACGAAGCCAGTGTCAGACGAAAGCCCTCTGACCATCGGAGCTTCCTTCATGCTTTTACTGGCCAACGGATCTGCAGCGGCTCTGCGTGAAGAGACAGAAGAGTGAAAGGCAGGCCACACACGGGGTCACCCTCTAGCTCATTGAAAGCAGCAGCCAGTAACCTCCAACCGTGAGCGGAGCCCAGTCCACCCCCCAGGCGTACCAGCCATGGTGGAAATGTGCGCCTCGGAGTCGCGAAGGGCGTGGCCTTTCCAGAACAGATCGCCAGGCCTTCCTCCTGAGGCACCCCTGTGGACCTTTTGGTTGGTGGTCAATCAATCGCCCAACCTTTTGCACCCCGCAGGGGCTCCACTCTCTCTACAGCTTCCTAAAGGAAAGGCAGTGATTCAAATCCCCAGCGGCTTATTGTGAACCATTTTTCTTGATTCCTGGCCCTGCCCGTCCTCACACCTGCTATGTTTGAGCCCGCTGTTGCAGCTACTGTGTCAATCCATTCCTTTGAGGGTCTTCCTCTAGTTCACTGGCCATAGACTTTACCAAGCACGGTGCCCTTTTCCGAGGAATGGTCTCTCCTGATAACAGCCAAAGTACATGAGTCTAAGTTCGCCATCCTCCCTTCTAAGGAGCGTTCTCAAGGTACTTCCTTTAAGACAGATTTGGCTGTCCTTTTGGCTGCCCGTGGTCCATTGTCTACATGCAGCACCATCATTCAAAGGCCTCACATTTTCTTCGTTCATTCTTGTTCCTTGTCCAGCTTTCACACGCCTATGAAACAAGTGAAAATGCTATGGCTTGAGCTTGGAGCACCCTAGTCCTCCAAGTGGCGCCTTGGCCCATCAACACTTTGCCTAGTACAATACATTGTTCACGATCTTGATTGCCCCTTTCATGGATGTTGATTGTAGATCCAGTGGTGTTAGCGCAGGTTGACTAGAGAAACAAATTCATTGACACTCATAGATGTGCAAGAGAGAACTTTATATCAAGAAGTAATTATGCATCAATAAAAAACATCCCAGCCCAGTCCAGATCAAGTCCATAAGTTCAATATTAGTCCATAAGTCCAATATTAGCCTGTGAATTCTGCTTCAGACTCATGCTGCACATGCAATGATGCTGAATGCAGAAAGATCACAGGCCAGTGAGTGGGAAGCCCTGTGGATCCAATGGCAGTGCACGGATCTGCAGGGCTCTGGCTGCCATCAGTGTGGCTCTGTGTGTCTTGTCAAGAGGAATGTGAAACAGTGAGGGAGTGTGCCCTGCCTTCAGAGAGAAAGAGAGGCGTCAGGGCTGAGACCTGATTGACAGGCTCGACTCCACCCCTTCATTCTTATTTATCAAGTTGACATGAAACTGTGTAATTACCACACCAACTAAAATGAAACCCTTGGTAACTTCCATTGATCATGATTTCATTTATTGATTCATCTGTGAGACTTTGTTTCCTTTCCACACTGGTAACCACGACATTACTTTCTGAACATATGAAATAATTTGTAATTCCATTTGTTTTAAGTAACGTCAAATCGAATTCCATAATGACTGCATATACCTACAGGTCCACCAGCAGTGGATGAGAGTTCCTTTCTCACCACACTCCCTCCAACACTTGTTGCTTTCTGATGTTTTTAATTGGGCTATCTTTGAGGGTGTTAGGGGGAGCAAAGCAATGAAGTCCCCAAGGAATCCTGAAAATAGATTTCAGACTGGGGGGGGCGGGGCTGGCACCTCATATGACACAATCATAAAACATACCTAAGGGTCAGCAGACAGACCTGGAACTATTTATAGGCCCTTTTTCTTCTTCTTCTTCTTTTATGTCTATTTATGATAGGCAAGATAAATAATCCCAAGGAGAAAACAATGGGACCGATTGTTCCAGGGGGGCAAGGGAGAGGAGGGCGTGGGGGAAAGGGAGTGGGGGAGCCAACAAACCCAGGGACAAGGGAACAACAGTAGATCTAAAATCAATGGCAAGGAGGGTGTAGAACACCTGGTGGGGTTTGATCAAGTGAATGTAGCCAAGAGAAACTATTGAGAGCCAAAAGAAGTTCGAACATGATGGTGGGACAGGAGGAAAGTAAAAGCAAATAGAGGCAAGAATTGGGAGGCAAAAAACATTTATAGAGGCATAAATATAGGCATTTATATATGCAAATATATTAATATATAACAATAGGTCTATGTACATATATTTATGTGTTACGTATCAAGGTAGCAGATGCACATTGGGCCTCTACTCAAGTACTCCCTCAATGCAAGAACACTTTCTTCTAATGGCCTGGCATCCTGTGATGCTCACTTTCCTGACACAATTGTGTTGAAGAAAGCTGATGGTGCTGGCTATTAGAAGATATAGCATCTGGGGTCTTAAAGGCCTGAAATTAAACAAGCAACCATCTAGCAGAAAACAACAAAACCTACATGGAAGAAGCACACCAGCCTGTGTGATCACAAGCTGTTGAAGGGATCAGGTATCAGGTATCAGAAGACCTCAAACAAACAACCATATCAATGCAAATGAAGGGCGTCAGAGTGGGGACCCAAAGCCCATCTGTAGACAATTGGGCATCCCTTCACAGAAGGGTCACCAGAAAGAGACAAGCCAGCCAGGGTGCAGTATAGCACCTACAAAACACACAATATTCCTCTAGTTCTCAAATGCTTCCTCCCCACACTATCAAGACCCCAGGTCTGCGTTCTAAATCTGGCTAGACGGGGCATGTACACTGGAACAGATAAGCGCTCTTGACAAACGGAATCCAGGACAGACAAACTCCTCAGGAACAATAATGGGAGTAGCAATACCATGAGGGTAGGGGGGAAAAGGGGAGAAAAGGGGAACTGATCACAATGATCAACGTATAACACACACACACACACACACACACACCCTGGCCCCAGGGGGAAGAACAACAGAAACCTGAGTGAAGGGACACAGCAGACAGTGTGAGACACTAAAATAATAATAAATTATGAAGGGTTCTGGAGGGTGTGGGAGGGAGGGAATAAAGAGGAGCTGATACCAAGGGCTCAAAAAGAAAGAAAATATTTTGAAAATGATGATGGCAACATATGTACAAATGTGCTTGATGCAATTAATGTTTTGATTGTATTAAGTTCTAAAGAGCACCCAATAAAATGACTTATAAAAAATAAATTAAAAATGTAAATTTTTTGTAATTTAGAACATTTTCCATATGACCATATCTAATGCTTTAAGGATAAAATGAAAACTTAAGTTTTAAACACATTAAAAAGAGTTGTGCAATCATCATCACAATCAATTTTAGAACAGTTTCTTCTTTCTTGACCTCATGAACTTCCCATCGCCTCCCCAAACCTCCCCTGCCATAACCCTAAGAAAACATTAATCCAATTACTATCTCTATAGATTTCCCTATGCTGGATTTCATAGAGAGAAATACACACACACACACCCAAAAAACCTTCATATCTTTAAGAAAAGCTTGATGTCAAAAGTGGAGGAAATGTCAACGGAGTCAGAACCAACTAAAACCCTTTCTGTCCTCTGTGTGTGTTTGTGACAGATATAGATGAGTGCACGGCGGGCACGCACAACTGCAGAGCCGACCAAGTCTGCATCAATTTAAGAGGCTCCTTCGCCTGCCAGTGCCTCCCGGGGTATCAGAAGCGAGGAGAGCAATGTGTTGGTAAGTACCCCGGATTGAAAGTCAAAATCCTGTGCTGAGCATCCTCATTGCTTGAGTCTCAGGCATTCATAGCCAAGGACTCAGATTTATTTAGAGCGTTACAGCTAAAAGCCATATTCATTCACCGACTCCCATACGTCTTCCGCACTAACCTGTTAGCTAGACTAATGGAAGCAGAAATTTGGTGCATGGTCCAAACCCTAAATGGGGTTGAGAAAATGGTCTTAAATCGACTGTTTGGGAACTCCAGCCCTAAAACACAGATGGCCTGGTGTCCAGCATAACATGGTGTATTGCTCCCTCGTGTCCAGCATAGCATGGTATATCTCTCCCTGGTGTCTAGCATAGCATGGTGTATAGCTCCCTGGTGTGTAGCATAGCACGGTGTATAGCTCCCTGGTGTGTAGTATAGCATAGTGTATAGCTCCCTGGTGTCTAGCATAGCATGGTATATAGGTCCCTGCTGTGTAGGATAGCATGGTGTATAGCTCCCTGGTGTGTAGGATAGCATAGTGTATAGCTCCCTGGTGTGTAGGATAGCATGGTGTATAGGTCCCTG